TGCTATCAGTGCAACGCTTTCTATGATAGCTATGATTTTTATCAACCAGGCTAATTATTTCACACAATAGCGCTTTGATCAGTATCCAAAAAACTTACCTAAAATCTAATCAATTAACGTTTCGCGTTCCTCAGTACTTCATCAACTTCTCACCTAGAAATGGTCTGAAGTTATGTGTACTTTGGTCGTTTAGATTTACAGTCCTTCTGATGCAACAATTATAAATCACCCTAATTTTCAGGATTTTTACAAACCTCGTAAATAATTACTGATTTCTGGGAGTGAAATATATTACGCTTTTGAATGGTTCTACCTAACTAGACAAAGCTTCTGTTATTAATGATTTTAGACTATGTTTGGTGCTGATTAAAGTTGTACTTAAGCACACTAAATCCCATATCTCATGATAATAGTAATTATTCTTAATGGTTCCATTCAATATTTTTGGCACAATATGGAATTCTCAGCACAATAGTGAAATGCATTCAAAATATATAATCAAAGTGCTAAAGACATCGGTCTTGTTGCCTGATAAATAAAGTATTTTACCTCAGATCAGGATGTCATGGGTTCAAGAACCGTAGGGATCGATGGGGCTGTCACAGAGATGGCTATTAGGAAGGTGTGAGGAAAGGAAGATATGAATCTTAGGAATTTTTTCTTCGGTGAACTTATTCGTATAGTTATTTTACGGTATTTCTAACTGTAAACTTTTGTTTAACTCGGAAATTAAGTTAATAAATTTTTGTATATCGCTTATGGTTAGTTATTTATATAAGTCACGAATCTCCTTGTTATGTGATTTTTTTATTTGTAATCTAGTAATTTAAATGTACAATTACGTGAGTTGTAAATCTTATGGATACACGTAGCATACGACCATTCATTTCGGCTTCTAGTGTTCTAATTAGCGGATTACTTGTGACGAATACAGTGTTAATAAACTATTGTTATTGGTGTACAGCAAAAACACAATAATGGCATTTAAGGTACACTATACAAGGATAAAAATAAGCTTAGCGACGTTCATCACATTTCTTATACGGTATTCAGGAATTTGTAATCAGAGGAATAAGATGAGTAGTGTGAAGATTGTTTTGTGACTTAACTCGAGTTAGTTATTTTACTGAGTAACGTTAGATGTACTGGATCAAACTATTAGATATACTGGTTGTTTAATGCCTACAACTAGTTGGACTAAGTAATTTCATATAACAGCTTCAAAGTTGGAAAACTTACTTTAAACTTTACCAGGAAAATCAATCAATTATGGTGAGAACCAACTGTTACTTCGTATTTTAACGTTATTTATAATTGCTGTATTCTAAGAAAGATGGCCAGTGAGTAGCCGTGACTTCACCTTTAGACCCAATTCTAACGGATTTTTTCTTAGCAATGAGGTTATCGATAAGCCTGTATAGTTTTTTACCCATTCGCTAAGAAAGAAACTTGGTTCGATTTCTCGGAAGCAGAGCAAAAAATATCCACTCAGAGGATACGATAATGGAGTTGGAGTTTATGAATAACATACTGTCAAAAACAGGTTACCCGAACTTATTAGAGCAAATGTATGCAGGAAAAAATGGGTTGGAGATATGGACCGCTCGGTAAGAAGTCCCTTTTCCTAGAGGTATAACTCAGTGGGTATGAGCCTAGTGATGCCCCGCATGATAAACTAGTAAGGGCAGTTAACAGGACATTTTATGCAGCTAATTTTGCGTTTATATTTTCTAACAGATCACAAAAGATAAGTTGCCTAAATTTGTCTCTTCAATGAGCATCTACCATTGCATTGCGCCTGTGATGGCTATATTGGGCGTGCTAACAGATAATCCAATCAACTAATGAATGGACATCTCCCAGCATGGTTTGAAAAGGGCCAAAGACTATGTGTAGCTCTATCTTGTCACACGTGGTCGATATCAGTCATATGGTAGATAAAAGCCAGTGATTTCATGTGACCTATCGTGTACCTGTGTCGTTACTCAGTGGAGTTCCATCCCGTCTTCTACATATAGTATATATAGAAGTAGAGGGATCCGAACCTATAGCCCTAGTTTGTGTTCAGAAGAAATTAGTGACATCCCCGTCCTTTCTTTGTTTGGGTATGACTTAATTAACCGTACCGTAAATTTTTTTTCACATCTTGCATTTGTTTATCTTTCTTCATCTCCATTTATATTCTCACTACCTAACTATCTACACAAAATTTGTTATGTAATTTCAAGTCCATTTTGTAATTATGATTTTAAAGTCTATTTACCCAAGTTTGACCTACTCCTATGTTAAACTCTTCACTAGAACTTTTATTATTCCTATAACTACTAGGATACCTGTCTTACCATTTTCATATACCCATTTATATATTCCTGTCTATTAAAGTAAAATCTAATGGTGATCTAATTGAAAACAATATCGTTCGCTTATATGTACTACAAATGGTCAATACAATGAATGTGTGAACGAAGTGCAGAAAAGATTAATCGAAACGACATATAGTCTAGGAATGGAATCATCCATGAATATAAATATAGAAATGTATTGTAGAATTTATGAATTATATAGCTCACATTTTTTAGAGTAATTTTGAATTTTATGAAATAAATAAATGAGAACCATTAAAAACAAGTAGCGATTGATAAAAAATATATTTCACACGTTACATTTTAAACAGTAGGATAGCGAACATATTTGGGACAGAATACTTTATGTCCCTGTAATGAGAGATGCAGCTATTATAATAAATGTTCTGCTGAAGTTAGATCATTAATATTTTTTTGTGTGGAAGACGATTATTTAGGGAATAACTTAAGGCTATTGTTATGATCACAATAACTTTCTTACGTAAAGAACTTCCAGATCTGTGACACTAAAACTGCTGTTTATAAAGCTTTGCTTCAATTGTTACACAAGCGCGTCTGAGATCAAAGGAACAGGACAGTCAATAAAAATATAAGGACAAACGAAGTCAACAAACCCTAGGAATACAAACAAGACTATTAGAACGATCTAATTCAATACATAGTGAATAACTAAAAATGCCCACTTCTATATAAAGTAGGCGTCAATCATATTATCAAGAATAACAATGAAAACTCAATAGATAAACCATTTATCTCAAAGAACTCTACAACAACACAGGCATTTATATGAACCTTAAATCAGCATTAAATTAAACTGTACATTTTTTTAAAATAGATCTATTAACAGCACAGTTGTTCAATCAGCTTATTTACAATTCAGTAGATAGACTATAGTACAGTGAAGTGTACAGCAAAATATTCATTCTTATTATTTATTATCGTTATTTTACTAGAAAAAGATAAATGAAAGGAAAGAATAAAACACATGTACAGAAAAACCAAATACATTATAAACCAGTAGTGCGAAAAATATTGATTAAACATTCGATCTATTTTTAATTCTGAAGTAAGTGAAGAAGTAATTTTCGGCATCGCTGTGTACTTATTATGTTACATTTCCCCATCATAGACAATTTATTAGGCTACGGAATAAAAAAAGACATTTAAAGCAAAGCCAAAAAAACAAAAATAAAAAGATGCTTTAATCATTTCATTTTTTTAAATTTAAATATCTGATGTACACAGTATTTGTTGTGAATGTAATGGAAAATTTCTATTTCGGATTAACCTTCACTCGAGCTTTCCAAATTTTAAAATTTATTAAGGCTTATAATTTAGTTGGTATGTTTCGCTCACTACTTTTATAAAATTAACCAACTTAGAATTGGATGTCAGGTGATTGAAGGCAATCGGCAAGAAGCAAGTCCAGAGTTTTTCCTATTGTTTAACAATAAACAAAGCGAGCTTCAATATCAAGAATTTTGTATAGCGATCAGGATTCATGTTCGATTGACATTGGCTACTATCCAACGACCAGTTAATGTAATTCTAGATCATTTATCGTAATTTTACGATTTTGTCATATAACACAGAGGATGGACGATGTAATTCTGGTAGATTTAAATATTCCTCTAGTCAGTCAATAAATTTTCCAGTTTGATTAATCATCCGAAAAATCAATGAAGCTGCTAAATATGTATAGTTGTTGACAACATACTGAGAATCACATCGTATTTATTTTTCTAAGTTTATAGTACAGCTTTTTTGATGTTATCAAAGTAATTCAACTGAATAGCAAATAAGTTATCAAGAGTCGAATATCAACAACATTAAACCATAACTTCAAAATCAACAGAATACGATCAATATAAAACTTTATGATATTATGTACATAATTATTCAGTTCCCAACAAGTAGTAAATGGAAAATGGCAAAACAACGTGTATTCTAATTCTGTTCACTGTGTTGTATTGGCACGACATTGTTGAGATTTACAAGATAAAACCATACTACTTATGAGTAACTAACATTTTAATGTTTAATTCCTTTTTTGCATTCGGTTGGTGAATTAAGTAGCTTTGTTGGTTGACGTGGTTTTTTATTTCTTTCGGCCTCATTGAAATGGACACTTGTTTGTGCTCAATACTGACAACTTCTTACTGGTTTTATTCTTCTAAAAGTAAGACGTTAACTTAATCTAGTTTTTTATTTACTGTAGAATCACAAAATATTCAGTGACAATAAAAGACTAAGCACTCGTCATGAGGCTTTCAGGTCATACATTCAATCCTTGACGAGGTTGTGGATGTGCGCTGTTGAGCAGTTCAGTAAGAGGATGAAACACTTATCCAGTGTTTCCTAGGTTTTACTGATTGTATAGTTAAAGTCATTCCATGATGTAAACTATACAAATCTCACAATAGTTTTATGGCGTTTTTCCATAATCGTAATCACCGATAAAATGATGTCATTTCTTCTTTTAACTGAATATAGTTTGATTTCAATGAAATGCCCATACAAGGCTGTTAGCTATTGTTAAAAAAATTTAATCACCAGCCTTATAAAGAACATAATTAAATGGATTTACACAAATGGGTTAGCACTTTTAATTTTTTGAATAACTAGCTTACTTATTGTTCAGCTCTTATCTTTTGATGTTGATCTCGATGAATGTGCATTTGCTGAGAATGAATCTGATATTGTACAACAACTTAAGGAATTCAATGTCTGATTTAATCTTTTTAACTGATCATAATTATATTTTAGTCTATCTTCTAAACAGTCTTTAGATGACGTGGGTTGGACGATTGATTCTTTATTTATTCCATAATTCTTTACATCATTACTGTGATGATGTTGACTGTGGTCATCCTCTAAATTGACATTTGATAAATTATGATTATTATGTAAGGAATAGCTTGATATCGAAATATTACCAGGTGAATGAATTGAATCAACTCTAGATGACGACGACATGTTACATAAAGTACCTTCATTTGAATAATATTCATAAAATGTTCTAGCTAAATTTCTGCCTAGTCGAGCATCTAAAAGATATTTTTGTTCAAAAATAAATGATGAATGATGGTTAAGGCAATGCTTGTCAATTACATGATAAATGAAACGAATCACCAAGTGAAAGATTATTAAAATAAACTAGATTTTATGTTAACTTGATTGGATATTATTGGTATATGCAATCATTCTCAAATTTGCTATGAATTCTATCACGTCAACAACAAAAAAACAATAGTATAAAGTTATAACATTTCGGGGTCGATAAAATGCTCCATGAGGAATGAAATTACTATTCATTATTAATGAAAAACAATGTTCATCAAGCGGAAGTTTAAATTCATTTGGGAAGGTGCATCAATAATTCTAAGGAAAATGAAATAATCGAAAAACCCAGTGATACTAGACGAGTATTGTTGACTTGTCTCATAATACGATACAACACTTATTATCTGATTATAAGGGTAGGAAGCTTTATGAGGAAAGGACGAAAAATTATGTTTATAGACCATGGGTATACATACATAATACTAGTAATCCGAACAAAGTTATGAACAGTGACTTTGGTCAGGTGGATAAAGCACTAACCCATAATAACCTGTCATACTTGTATTTCTTATTTCCGTATGGCCTTGAAACAGCATGCGATCTGTTTTGAGTCGCTAACCTGGTTATCATCAACTTCTATTTAATCAGTTAAATCCTTATTAGACTTAGATATCTTGTACCTAGATTCGTCGATTCAAGTTTACTGCATCTTATTAGCATAATCAGTTGTGTTTATTGGTACAACTCCTGAATCCTATAAGGCTTCATGAGTCTTATTTACTTCACATAGTACACCTTTCATACTGCCACCAACTGCGTGAACATATTTACATGTATCTGCCAAACTTGTTGCATTGGAAGAACAGTGAGAAGGGTCTAGATTCAATTTTGAGAACCTGTCGACTGAATTTTCAGGAACTGGTCTCCTTCCAGGAGGCCCACCTTGAAAAATGTCCATGTATCAGCCTGGTGCTCTATCTCAAAAGGGATGTCTTGAAAAGAGCTACTTAAAGCCTCTAATCCGTTTGACTTCAAACATTCAAGAACGAGAACGTTATTTCCAGCAGTAAGTCTATGATCAAACTGAACAAAAATGGAGATAGTGGACAACCTTGGCGGACACCACTTGAAGTTGAAAAATCAGATGACAGTTCGCCATAAGCTCTCACTCGATTAGTAGTGTTCGAGTAAAGAGCCTTCACAAGGTTTATGTACTTCTGAGGTACGCCTTTCAACGGCAGACACTGTCACAAAACCTCTCGGTCTACAGAGTCAAATGCTGCTTTTAAGTCAAGAAAGACCATTATTGTCGGACGCCGATGAACCTGCCTGTGTTCTAGAACCTGACGAATGGCGAATATGTGGTTAATACAGCCACGACGAGGTCTAAAGTCAGCCTGATTTTCTCGTATTTGCCAGTTCACGAGTCTCTGTTAGGCGTCCGATAATCACTGAGACCAATCTCTTAGACGCCATATTAGCCAAACTAATCCCTCTATGATTATCACAGGATGATTTTGACCCGTTCTTATATATTAGGACGATCATTGATTGCGACCAGTCAGATGGGATAACGTCCAACTCACAGACTTTAGCTAAAATATTAGTCAACCTAATCGCTAAAATTAGACCACATGCTTAAAGATCTCTGGAGCCAGCTACTCTTCCTCGTTTCAGAATAACTATAGCCTTTTGAGCTTCAGCTAGAGTTGGGGGACCTACTTCAATGTTCCATCCACGCTGTTTGGGAATGATGGGTAGTTGTAGAGTAGCTGAAGGTAAGCTAAACTGCTTCTTAAAGTGTCTCACCCATCGTTCTAAACGTCTGAGCTGAGAGCAGATCAGTGTGTCCTCTTTTTCCGAGATCGTCTCACACTTGACTTCTAAATTCCAGTTTCTTCATTAGTCTGAAAAGCTTTCTGGTGTTATGTACAGCCGTTGTCTTTCCCATCTCTTTACATGTTCAAAAAGAAACAGAAGTAAATCTTTCCATATTGTGTTAACATTACCCTCAATTTATTACATTCTTTCCCCAAATCATTTCTTTTATTTAGGTTGAACCATTATCAACCCATTCAAATTCACATATTTATTTTTAACTGACTGACCTTAATTCATGTTATCATTAATCGCCACCAGCCTGTGTCTAACTGCTTCACTGCGCAATCAAATAGCTTTTTTAGCTCTATGACCTTTAGTTGCAATCCCAATGTTCTAGAATTTTCTCTCGCACATTGTGTTTGTTTACAAAACTTCTTCCAATTAGCTAACTTTTCTGGGAACTTATCTCTATCATGACATACATACTAACCTCTAATCAACTTCAATCACACAAGTATGTTATCTCCTATGGTAATTTTGATTTTAAATCATAAGGGATTGTAAGTAACAGACGAGAACCCAATGAAATAAAATAAATTCTCATTATTCTGTTCAAATCTTTGTTCTTACTCTCTGGAAAATGAAACTTAATACCCGAAACATCTACAAGAAATACATATTTATCTCATATTAATAAATATTTATAGACAAGTAAATGAATATAGTGAAAATATGTTTAATAATTTAAAGGATACACTTTTCTTCAGTATACGGAATCATTTCATTGGTTAACATATTTGTGTAACTGTAAAATGAAACTTCTAATGTATAACAAATAGTGTGATCGTCCAGAATACCACCCAATGTGCTATAAGAAAGTAATAAAAAGCAGCATATATGTATATAATCACATTTACAAGCAAATATTTTATCACCTAACTAGGAAAGCACATAAAAAATAGTTTTAACAAATCAAATTACTACAATGGAGGTATACAATAACTATAGACTATTAATAATAGATATTCTTCCATAAAAATGTCAGTTATCCTCTTAAAACAATGATCTTAACCGAATCGCCATACAATAAGACATGTTAGTAAACTCTCGCTTATATAACTTGTTAAAATATGTAGGCGATGAATGGACAGAAGAAAAAATTCATTGAAGTTGGATAATCACAATGAACGCTTAAATTCAATTAAAGAATGCTAGCTGATCAACTAGTAAACTGTCAAGCAGCTAATCAGTAATGGCAATTAATGATAAACTCAACGAGAAATCTGGTTACGATTAAACAGAAGGTTTATCAGAGCGGTAACCCACAGTTATGAATGGGACTGAAGAAAAAATCTCAAACATGGAGTGGTTATTCTTTAGTAAATCCGTTTATAGATGGTGGTAATTTCCGAAACAGTGGTTTTATGGTGGCTTTCGACAGTTAAAATTGTAAGTCATCTCTTTAGTTATTAAATGTCGATACCTCTTTTACTATCTATAAATTGCAGTAAAAAATCTAAATTTTTTACTCATCTTTAAGTCACAAATATCATAGCAGTGTTTGGATTTGTATACTGTGATGCGTCGTAACCTTAGGTTTAACTGCATAATCATGTGAGTTCCTTGTTTAAATAAGAAATACACTTATAACCACTTACTCAACCTTCTAGAGCTCTGACTGAAGATTTGGAATCGTAGTAATGTGTGTGTACTGTCAAGGGTTTGAACTCTGTCTGTAGCTCTCCTAGGTTTACCACCTATCATAGGCCTGGATAAAGGAGAAGGGTTGGTCATGAGGTCAGCGAACCCATCCTGTAGAAAACGACCTTGCTAAACATCGCTAACCATGAAAAGTCACTTGAACTATGTCTTGGGAGTTGAAGGGTCTTCTAACAGAAGAACTATGACACCCCATGGTGAAAGCCGAAACTCTTAGAAAGCCACAAGGCCGATACCCAATACCCATCCTGACAACCAGAGCAATAGTTAACATAAGTACTTGGAACGTTCGGACAATGTAAGAAACCGGGAGATCCAGTCAAATTGTTAAGGAAATTAGGAGATAAGACTTGGACACAAACTGGACAGAAAAGATTAGATTCGGGAGAGGTGTTGTTGCATTCTAGCATGAAGAAGGAAATGTTTTTCACACACAACGAGTTGTACTGATTCTATCCAAAGAAGCAGGAAAAGCACTCAGAATGGGGATCTCATAGATCCAGGGTCATCAAAGCATTCTTCAAAACGAAGGAAGAGAGGATCGCATAGTGTTATGCTGTGCTATGCACCCAACAATGAAAGCAATGAAGACGATAAAGATCGGTCTCATGAGGGGCTACAGTTGGTCGTAAAGAAGTAGCCAGGGAAAGACCATACCATCCTGATGGGAGACCTCAACGTCAAAGTTGGAATGGACAACACCGAGTATGAAGATATCATGGGATAACATAGACTGGGAGAAAGGAACAAGAATGATGGCAGATATGCAAATCAATGTGCCTTCAACAAAGTGGTTATAGGCAGCATAATATTCCCCTATAAACACATACACAAAGCTACATAGGTTTCTCACCTGATCACACTACAGAGAACAAGATCGATTATATTTGCATCAATAAAATGTTCAGAAGGTCAATGGAAGAGGTAAGAACCAGGAGAGGAGCTGAGGCTAAAGAACCACTGGACAACTGTGGATACGGTATTACAAAGGTTCAATACAGTCTTCCTTCGAGATACTGACAAACTCAACGAATTCAATATGGATCTCAATCACAGGTTCCAGTCCCTATAATATATGCTTAAATAAGTGAAACTAGTATGGGGAACAACTGGAAAGGGATTAAAGAAGCACGATCATAAAGAATAGATTTCTATCGGGAACCTGATTAAGATTCGAGAAAGGAAGAACAGGTAGATAGCAACTAACAACAGTCAAACAAGAGCAGAAGAAACCAAGACACAGACCGAACGCACAGAAGCGAACAAGTGAGTGAAGAAGAGCATTAAAGCCGACGAGCAGAAATACGTGGAAGACCACGTAATACCAGAGGAAAAAGCTGACAGAGAAGAAAGTATGAGACAACTATATCATGCAACGAAGTAACTGACAGGCAAATATAGTAAACCAGAGTGATCAGTCAAGGACAAACAAGGCAAGTCAATCATTGAGATTCAAGAACAGTGGAATAGGTGAGCAAAGCATTTCGAAGTGCTCTTGAATAGACCAGCTCCACTGAACCCACCAGATTTTGAGGCAACATACACAGACCTTCCTATAGATGTCACTCTACCAACGATCGAACAAATCATCATGGCCATCACACAAAATAAGAGTAGGAAATCAGACGAACCAAACAACATACCATCTGAAGCATTGAAGTCAGACACAAAAGAAACCGTAACGATGCTTCACATTCACAGACAGATGCATTCCAAGTGAGGGCCGGAGTCAAACAAGGCTGCTTACTTCCCCTCTTTCTCTTTTTCTGGTGGTTAACTGGATTATGAAGACCTCTACATTTGAGGGGAAGCACGGTATACAACGGACAGCATGCATGCAGCCAGACAATTTGAACTTTTCAGATGACCTGGCCCGTCTACTCCATACATACGAACGAATTCAGATGAAGACAGCTAGTGTAGCTGCAGCTTCTGAAGCGGTAGGTCATAACATTCGCAATAGAAACAAATCCTGAAATCCAATACGGAGAACACCAACCCAATCACATTTGATGGAGAAGCTCTGAAAGAGGTGGAAACTTTCACATACCTGGTCAGTAGCATCATCGATAAAAAAAAAGACTCGATGCAGATGTTAAGTCACGGATTACTAAGATAGAGCGACATTCCCACAGTTGAAGAATATATAGAACTCAAAACTGTCAGCTAACTTCAAAATCAGAATCTGCAATACGAACATCCAAACAGTCTTATTGTACGGAGCTGAAACTTGGAGAGCAACCAGAACCACCATCAGAAATGTACAGGTATTTATAAACAATTGTCTAAGAAACATATTCAAAGTATGTTGGCCGTAAACTATCAGCAACAGCCTACTGTGGGAGAGAACAAACCAACTTCCAGTTGGAGAGGAAATTAGGTAAAGACGTTGGAGGTCAGTAGGACATACAGTACGGAAATCATAAAACTGCATCATGAGGCAAGGCCCAACTTGTAGTCATAAAGGCAAAAGGAGAAGAGGCAAACCAAACAACAAATTGAGCCGGAAATGGGAGACAGACATTAAAACAATGAATCGCACTTGGAAACAACTAAAAGAAGAGCTCAGGTCAGAGTTGGTTGAAAAATCCTGGCGGACAGTATATGCTCTACGAGATGTAACATGCGTAAGTATCGAGGGTTAGACGAATACAATAACGGAATCAGAGGATTTACCATAAATGTCATAAGTAAAATACGATGGTGTAAACCTTTCCACTAAAAAATGAGTTGCTGTATTCCGAAAGCTGTTTTTCGTATACAGCTGACTCAGTTGTCATTTTTATCTAAACACTTTGAGTGCAATCAGAGAATAAAGTTTCAGTTATAACAGTGTAAACAAAAACTGTTAATAATTTTACGGAGGGATGTTGATACCCATTGATAATTCCCACGCGTCGATTCAATAATAGGTCCAATCTATAGAGATTTCTTGAACGGGAAGTGTTTTATATAACCATTTCCTATAGATCTTAGAATTAATCAAAATATATATCGATAGAAATGTAGGTAATCTAAGTGACCCAGTATTTCAGTAAATTCAGTTTGAGTTTAGATGATTAAAAGTAGTCAGTTGAGATTTAGGGACCATGATTTTGTATATTCATGTCGAACAAACTCATTATTTCATTGAAACTCCGAATCTTATCGCTTATAGCTGTGATTGAAAACATTATTAATAAACTGATAAGTCACAAACAATATCGGTGAATGAAATGAACCACAGTATCTGGTTTCCTAGATTTACAACCGTTATGAAATTATTATGTCAAGAAAGGATGAAAACGTAACACTGATCACTATGCAATCGTGCAGCTGACCGCTATATCAACATTACAAAATGCCAATCCAAATGTCAGACGCAAAAGCTTTCATCAAGGTGTGAATAAGTTTCACAAAACAATATCAGGAAATATAAAATTTAGGTCCAGATTAATCTAATTATTGGTTTTAATCAACTTACCTGTAAAAAAATTTAACGATCTAATCACATAAAATTTCTTCGTCACTTTTATTTTATATTATTTTCTAAAGAATCGTTAAATATTTTGCAACGTTTTTTAAGTTTCTCACAGTTAAAATTAGTTTCTGATCCTTATTTATGAGTGAATCAGATTAAAAACCACAAGCAAACTGAAATACTGGAAGAAAAATTGACTGTTTTATAATGTAAACAGATATCATAATACATAAAAAATTACTTACCGTCGACCAGTTCCAGCTTTTAAAGTATCTTTATTGAAATTTGTCTGTGGTAAACTAAAGTCTTCAGCAAACTGACTTAACAAACTTGGAAATCTAGCTTGCCTTTCTGCTCGTTTTTCATCCTCATATATATTTCCATACATAAATCCATTCATTAGTGTAGAGTGTGCATGTATATCAATGAAGAAATTCACATCGATGAACTAGGTAAAGGTTAAGATAAATTCAAACACAGAACTATGAACTAGTAATCTTTTCATATAAAATACATTTTCATCACATGTCAATATCAGCTGAGAAACGATTTAAAACCACGGGGTAATAAACCCAAAGGACAATAGTTACAACCTATATAGGGTCAAAGGTGAACACTGCTGAGAAGTACTAAAGTATAACAAAACAAACGTCTAGCTTTTTCTACTTTTCAATGATTCCCCAGGTGATGCTAGCCCATGAAGAAAATCAATCGAAAATCGACTTCATTTTATTTTGTTTAAAATGGATGAAAGAAATTAATAGAAAACCTTGAGTCTAAGGTTCTTGTTATTGCATGTGTAGCAAACGGAAAATGAACTAACTTTAGCCTCATTGCAAGTACAAAAGTTTCTAAAAAGTTTATAACTTACTGGATTATTGTCCAAATTCATTAACAATTGTTTTGTAGCATAAATAGTAGGATGTGCCCATAAGGATGGAGACTGCCATTGTCTATTTAAATCGAATCCCATTAAAGATGATCTAAAGATACCGAGAATTAAACTGTTTCTTAGACTAAGAAAAAAACCCTTTTAAGACGTTTTTATTGTCATTATTTATCATATTGGTCTACAGTGGTGGAGTATGGCACACATTTTATTGTTGTTGTAGCATACAGAAAAAGGAGACTAAAATTAAAATGTGAACCACATGTAACTATCATTAATCGTTACTAAAATTAGACATTCGCTTTAATGAATATTATGAACAATGATTCAACTTACAGTTAACAAATAATTTCAGGACATCAAAATAACTTTGATTACGATTATAGACTGTAAATTCATTAACTATAGGTCTACATTTGTAAATTCATTAATAAAGCTTCATTGTAGTACAAATTTAATATTTGTAAACGTTGGCAAATGTGAATAAAAAGTATCACGGTGCGGTATAGCCATCTTAGATTTTTACTAAAAACTTCAACATTTTACCTTATTGCTCTAATTTAACATAACCTTATGTATTCCACTCATTGTTGCACTGATTCTTTTTCTAAAACATCTATTATATATATATTTTTGTAATTTGTTTATAAATTACATTGAAGAAATACTATGGTAAGTTTGGTGTTGAATCGAATACGTATCCACTATTAAAGAGTTTGTCATAAATTCCTCTTCACCTTTACCATGAAATAAATCAATCTTCAGGAGTACTTTTTCTCATTACAAGCTAGGACCATTCAGAGTCAAACAAGTCAGAGATGAAACAGTTACTCCACAATGACATTGAATAGGAACCACGAAGAAATATACCATTGATTTACTGGACCTGAATATTCACATCACTTGCTTCCAACTTATCGACTCCGTGGTAAAGCAATAATAATTATGAAACCCAATTTCAAGTTTATATTGGGTTGTAGATGCACGGTAGTGAGCACCCCCACCCTTAAAAATCTAGGGCTGATGAGGTTGATAATGCTCCTTGATTTTAAGTAATCCTTGAAACGATGTTTGTTTGTGATTTGGATTTTCTTCTAAATAAACAAAACTCTCTAAAACACCCACCTACTTTTAAAGTGTATCTTTAACCAAAAATTCAGCTGTGACAAGAAGTCGAAACAGAGATGGTTGTTTCACTTAAGTTTACTTTCAGTTTTAGGACTATAAAGAAAAAATATTTATTCGTAATTAATGCATTTGACTAATAAGTACTCTAATGATTAGATATTTTCATACCTTATTCGACATTTCTAGAAAATATCGTTATTATGTGGATTATACGAAACTTATATCAGTTTGTTTTCTCCTTGCTTCATTAGTATTGTTGAGGTTTTTATTTTGACTCCACTCAAAAAATGCCTCTCGCCTTTAATGTTGACCTTTTTCCAGTTTTTTTTGCTAATTCTTATCATATCTAGGTAATAAATACTTAACTAGAGTTAATCTATTTTGTGTTTATCTAATTAGTTGCAAGAAAGTCTTACAGAGAGACATTTGAAAAGTAAGCAAAATTTAATTATTGTAAAACTAAAGAGAACAGAATTATTTTGCTAGAAGTTAAAATATCTACTATCAACAAACTTACGGTAAAGTGTATTACTAGAGTGAGATGAAATCGGACAAGATATTGTTAGTAATGCGGCAAACAAAACAGAACTTACCTATAATTTCCCAAATAAACACCATCTGGATTTAACATTGGAACAACTTTAAAAATTAAATGTTCACGTAATTGTTGAGCTATCGAATGATTACTAACCATGAAATCAATAAATCCTATAATATTTTGACGAAAAACACAAGTATATCTATACTAAGATCATCTTGTACTACAACGAAATAATTCAGTTTTGATGTAAAAAGAAGGCAATCATCTAACACAGAGATTATGTACATGTCTACCTGAAAGGTGGTAAGTTATATCTATTGTATAAGGACTGGTAAAATCTTAAGATTTTGACTATTAAACTAAATGAAGCAGGCTAAAGCTGTCTAACCTCAAGTTTGTTAACCAGGTACACATGACCCAAAAGAGATTTCTCATTAATTATTACCTCTGAGAACCCTAACTTATGTTCAATTAGATTCATCAAAAGAAAAATAAGTTACAAATACGGACAACAGATTGTAAGATATAGCATGTTTTAGCAATAATTATAACTTATAGGCCAAACATTTCAAATTTAAGAAATGCTCTTCAAAAAAGGGTGAGTATTCTCTATGGGGATGTTTTGATTCAGTGGATTATTGGATTACATAATACGAAGTCTAGTTTTTCGAGCACACCAAATATAAGCGCAGATAAGGTACATTTATTCCATCAAGTAATCTATAATGGTACTGATCGGCGTATCATACATAATCCAACTGAAGAGGCATGGGGAAATCTCAGTTTTGTTTTGGGAAACTGGCTTACTACTTCTGACGCCATGAGATACATTCGACCACATAGAGACCACAAAACGATTTTATTTTCATTTTCTCAAATACTTTTATTTTGTTTTTATTTGCGTTAATCCAGCTGTTTTTTCCACAATATCCGCGGTGACAATATTTATCACAAAGCTAAGCACAAGTGACTTAATCGTACATTAAACAGTTGTTCCCATAGCAGAAGGCAACCATGTGAAATAACCGACATGTAATCTATACGACCGTAAAAAAATTGTAACCTTAAGTTTGAATAAGGATGTTTGGTTTTGCTAAAACTTCATTGATAGTGTGCTTCCAGAAGTAGTAGTTTACGGCTGGCAGTAGCATTAAGGAAGCGCGTCTTGTCCAATTTGAAGTGCTTTAGATGGATGTATTTGCATTTCAGTGTTAATTTTCACACTGAAAGTAGAATTCAGTAATTTTGGCGACAGTGATCAAAATAAGATCTTGAATATCAACAACGGGATAACTCAAGCTCCTCGTAGTAATAATACAATCACAAGTATTAGTTTCTGTCTGTTCTTTTATTTATTTATTAACTCCAATAATTTATTCATCGATTTGCTCATTTTATTGAGATATCTAAAATCACTATGCTAGAGTTATTGTATGATTCTGAGAGTATTCGAGAGATTAATGTTGATGAAAACAGAAAAATAGCCTTTATGCTAAATCTCATTGGAGGTGAATTAATATTTACATGATAATTAGTAACTTGTACACGAAATAACCATGATATTCACGAAACGCTGCTTCAGTTACTAGCTTTCAAAAAGAAATAGTAACATTTGAAGTAATACAGGTAGTTGTGGAATCTTAACCTATAATATTCAGCATTGAGTCATTAAGAACTAAATACTTGTGTGTCTCTTTGTACAAAATGAGCAGGATTTTAATTAATACAGTTTAAAGACTAGATAGTCACTAATTAATTTTATTGAAATCTATTGATGTCATCTGTGCGAGATAAAGATTTCGTTTAAATTTATTCTTAACTAAAGTAGTTAAATCTAATATCAGTGAAACCTAACTTTGAGGAACATATTTTATACGTCAAACAAGCAACCATTACCAATTTGGAATCTAATCAAAATAAAGTATAAAATCTATTTAACAATACATGAAAATGCCCCAACTAAAAACAGTACATCTGATTACCTTGGCAAACATAAGATGATGGTGTTTCACCAGGATGAACACGAGCGGTCACAAATATCACACGTTTCTTGTCAGCCGTTTTATTGAGATTACTAGGATGAGTAATTGTTATAAGATCTAGACGTCTTTGTTGCTTGTAAAATGGAAATAAGTTGCGAATATGAACATAAGAAATTAAAATCATAGTATTTTATGGTATATATATGGTAAATAATCCTGACTCAAACACAAGCGACCCTGTTGAAGTTCGATTAGTTATATTGGATTGATAACAAATGACAACTTACTCGACCAGCTTGTTTTAAAATTGAATTTTATCAGTGGAACTTTGGCCAGGTGAAAAATACTAGGTTTGTTTGTAAAGCTTTAAGTCCAGATAATTAATCAGTCATTGGGGTTGTGGGCTGATAATGACCAGTTTATAGAATACGTATCACCAATGGACTTCACCATGATCAAAATTCATTTTGCTACTTCTAGTTTGATACTAATTAGTATAGAAAGTGTTGTATGGAACAAACTGATCTTTTACACCAATCTAGGGTGTCATAAAAAAGTGTTACATAGTATAGTGATAACCATCTAAAAGCCAGTTAGTTGCATTATTCTGTGTCATTATAATACTACGTGTTTAATTTCTCGCTAATGAAAGAATATGAATTAACGAACGGCACAAAATGATAAATGGTGTTATACAAATATGTAGGGCAGTACATTGATCTCATAATGATAAAGGTGATAAAAAACAATCGAAAAGGAGTTTGGCTGTTCTTATCTCTAAAGCTAATCTAACTATTTGCTTATAACTTAGAAGGCTACAAAATAGGGTTAAGATAAAGTAATTAATTTTCTATTCTAATCGCAAAATATAATAAAATATCACGCGAAATATTATAAGTAATTTTAAAGAATCACTTGGAAAAGCACATTAATTTCCCCCTTCCATAATATGGATTAGGTTTCCCATTTGTTCTCTATGTGCGAAATATCAATATTTATACTATTGAATAACAAGTCAATGCACAATGCTCCATTCAACATTTTGCACAAATTGCATTTGGTTGACGTTTAAATTTACGGCAGTTTCAAATAACTGTTGGATTCAGAAGGAAGACTTGCTTTTCATTATAATTGGAAGTAATGACTTGTTGAGAGAACTGATATCTGATGAACAAGAGTGGGTCGTAATGTTTAGTCAATCTATATGAGAATAACAGGCTAAAAATAAAGCAACTAATGTGATGTTGAGACAGTCAATATTCCTGATATCTTAATTAGAAACAAAATCTCTCCCTAAGTTTATAGCTGGTATAAAAGTATCCATAGTGATTTCATTTTAAATGCGTATTATACGAGTATGATTTCAATAAATACGGAAGCCTAGTATATATTGGGTTTTGTAAATAAAATCTATTCAAAAATTTGGATATTTAAGGTTATTCAATTTAATTAGAAACAAAAATTGTCTCATTACACCAACTGCCAAAGATAAGATTTAGTTGCTTCATTTCAATAAACAAGTCGCAGTTCAATAACCAAACATTACTTGTTTTCCGTTATGAGTTTACTATGTCGGCAGAATTTTTTATTTGACAGATTTCTAGAAAGAACGGGCAGTGGATAAAGACGATATCTATTTCTGTATAGAGTATCCTTTCTAATAACAATCAAATTAGCAGACAACCATTCATCAGCAAAATACGATATTCAAACTGAATCAAAAATGTGTGAAATACTACCATTAGAATGACTAACAGTCAGTGCCTACAGGTTTTAGTATGTGCGACAGTTTGCCTTTAGTAAAATGTTCAATATAAGACTTTTAGGAAATGTTTACCCTCAAATATCATGTTTTGAATTGTCACAGAGACTCAATAGTTCGAGAAAATAGCCAAATCACAGCATTGACACAGTTATCAAAGTCAGAGTATTTGATTCACATGGAAAAGTTAAGTGGAATCATTACTTAGTCATTATTCGGAAGAAATTTAATAGTATTGTTTTTTTTTACTGTTTCACCAAAACTATTTTGTGGTTCCATAAGAATTTACTCTTCTACTTACGGAAAACGGCTCAGCTATACTATAGTTCGATGGCATAACTGTTACCAAACAAACCTATTTCATTAACGACGTATAAGTAGAATCACGGTTCCATTTTTAATCAAAAGTCACCCCTCTAAAATCTACGTCTTTTTACTTATGAATATCAAAACTCACATCTCCATATTCAAACACATGAATGTGACCAACAGAGAAACAAGATATAATGGTAGCCAAGCAACAAAAATCTCTGGATCAAGTATTATCTCTGAAAAAGCTACTCACTCAAATAACAATACATATTAAAAGCTCTAAAGACAATACAGTAACTGGGTGATAAGACTGTAAAGCTGCATCAGATTTACTGTCTAAATTCATATATAGCAAATCTTAAAGAAAAGATATATGACTCCAGCCAGTTCTCGAGAATTCAGCAAAGCATATTACGAGTTGGCTTAGAACTAATTAGTCTTATCGCTTAAAAGTAAGTGTACCTACTACTGTCAGGCCCAAAAGTTCTCTCTTGAAATGGGCATAATGTTTAGTTTCTAGTATCTCTAAGTACGTCTGTAGTCTGCTGTAAGTATACGGATAACAGTACGCGAATTGATAGACGTCCTCTTCACAATCAAAAGAAAATGCGAAAGACATAACGTATTTTTTCTTTTGTTCAGGGGATCGGTAGTAGAAAACACATTTTTGTGGAATGCGAGACCTGAGTTAGGTATATAGTGGAAAACAATACCTACCAGGAAGGACGGCTAGACGATTTAACAACTGGGGACATACCTTCTCGATATAAAGACTTTGTCTTGCTAAAATTTACCACATTGAAAATTACTCTCTGATTATTAGTGATAGACTATGAGTATTACCTGTTCATATTTAGTGTTTTCCACTGTGAAATTAAACCATACTCTGAATCGTGCATTACATGTATCCGGACGTATAAATAAATCATACTCGTATTCACTGACGTACACAACCTTTCCAAGATTTCCTTAGTGATAATTAGGAAAGGCAAATGAAGTACCACTTTCGAAACATGCGTCGAAGATTAGATGGCCTTTTCGTAATTTTCCAGTGTATCCATTAGGTATAACTAGTAATTTACTCACATTCCCCACAACGCTATCGCTGATGCCATCAGAATCACTTCCTGCAGATTCATTCTGGTCTACAAAAGCACGTCCAAATAAATCTTCATGAAAGACGTTTTTCTTTGCACTCATCTGACATATTAGTTACATTAACTACACAAACAAAAAGTAGAATAGACAAACAATTTTCTGAGCCCATTTTCAAACTTATCTTCGATCGGAATAACCAGATGAAAAGAGTGGAACAGAGTGAGATAAAACATTTTCAAGCAATCAAGTTGCAGAATAAACAATAATAATGGAAACGTGGTCAAATCAATCAGATTGTGAGTAAACAATCATTGGGGACTATCAAAACACATATGACGATGAATGTAGCAATACCAGGTATCTTTTCCACAAGCTAGTGTAAATCATATTGTAGGGCCAGTGAAATTCCACTGGGCCCTAGCCAAATCATACTGCAGTCGGGTCATTGAATGTCGAACAAATCATCGATCCTCGTCAAGGTCAAGGACAACCAACGCGAATCAGTTAATCGTACGCTATAAACTGGCCGATGTGGCAGTGGTCTTACTTTCGCTTGTATCTACTTTAACTAATATATTTCTGTAATAACGTCCTCTGTGTTGTACAGTCTTCAAAGCATCTATAGTACCTTGATACGTCAATGGGCTAGTCCACGTAAGGTGCTGACCTCGAGGTGTAACTTCGATGTTAGCTGGTTCGTCACGCCATTCTAGTTTAACTCGAGTAGACTGCCGGTCATTTCGACATTGATCATCTACGTTGGTGATCAACAATATGATCTCTTCATGCCTTCCTAATGGTGTTAGGGTACGATTTTTCGTTTCCGATGACGTTCAAAAACGTAATCTAGCTACTCGGCAGGATTAGTCAAAGTGAATTCCACTGTTAGCAGTGGGTTGACTTATCCTGAGCATAAGCGACTTGGTCTGTCTCAATAAAGTAGGTTATCTGGTGCTCCTTACTACTATATGTTTGGAAGGAACTGGTTAGTGGAAGCATAAAAGTTGTAAAGTCAGAATGAGGATGAGGGAAATGAAGACCATTGTTAAGAAAAGTAAACAAATTAGTTGAAAAAGCGAGTGAATAGAAAAAATGTCAAAGCATACTTATAGACATTGGTGGCGCCGAGCGAAATGTGCAGCATAGATGGACGATTGTGATAAACATAATATTAAATAAGAATGTCAGATAAGTTTCGGGCCGTGTCTACATCTTCCGTGCAGTTTGAACTAGCATCTATGCTCCCTGAATGGTCGAATATAGACCACTTGATGTTTAAATAACTGGAAGAGAGTGACTACAGATAACACAGATTTTTTATGTCGTACGAAGTTCGATGTTTTGGATAAATCAAATATTAATTCGTTTTCCGACTTCCGAGGTTCAAGTGAATCCTTTTGCCTTTTGTGGGTTTCCAGGTTCTGACATTATCAGTGCAAATGAGAACTGGCGATCTGATTTCATTCACTTAATCGTCTGGGCAAAGCACAAGCAGTAGAAGTCTTAAAATAGTTTTAGTATGGAAACAAAGGTATGGCGTAGACATGTTAGATAGCTATCATGCAGGCTATGTCATGAAGCGTTGAGGGATTAGTATGCACAAACTTTAAAATGTGGAGCGAAAAACAAGTTCAAAAAGACAAAAGTTAAATCAACCTTTGAAAGTGAGTACTGCATCAAGTGAAGAGCAAACCTGAAAGGATCTAAGACTAGTATCTTCCTGGATTTTGTTATAGCTGACCGCAGTAAAAGAAAGCCTGTGAAAATCACTAGTCATCGTCGAATCGGCAACAAAAATATGAAACTAAAAAACCTCTAACCAGTTGAAGTTTGGAGTGAAGCGATTTCCGAACCACTTTTGATTGCAAAGGACAGCACTTCACTAACCTTAATGTTTGTTATGCAAATTTTCTCAGCCTGCTAGCTTAGGAATATGAGGTATATAAGAACATGTCTTGTGTCAGAAACAAGTGGTTGTGAAGTTCAGCCGATGTTTTGTGATACAGTAGGACTGACGTGCTAAGCCATATATACAGTAGTGTCATCTTGTACCTAAAAGATATCTCAACCATCTTTGACGCATAACTCAATAACATGAAAATTAGTTATATGCTGACCAAATTATGAAGGACGACATATCGAACTAGTTGCGGTGTGCCGTAACCTTGAATATATGGCAAATAATTTTCGCCGAAATCAACTTCAATAATACTCAGACACTGATAGAACTCTAATGGTAGATGACTTCAATGTACTATCTATGAACTGCACCAACTTAGAGATGCGTTCGCTGGAAAACGCCTTTACCACTTTGGAAACCATAATCTTACTAGCTTTATTTCAACACTTCGCAGAATTTATCAGATACTAAGAACAGCACTATTCATCTGTCCATGACTAGATCTTCACTCGTGGGGTTGATATTGGTCAAGTACTTTACACCAATAAGGAGATAAAGGCCTCAGGGTCATCGTATTCAGGCTCACTGTTGACACAGCCAACCAAATGGACTCACTGGGTCTTTCCAAAATACGTGGGGAAGACATAAAGCTAATCAGCATACGAGCTTCTCTGATGACTAAGAAATCAATTCGGAACCATTAGTTGAAGACTCACAGAAACGGAACGGCCAAAATCGACGGATATGGATCAAGCGACATCCTACCGTCAAGACAAGAATGTCTTCACGAAAGTTTGCCGCTTTTTACTACAAGCTCCATATTACTCCTTTTTTACATTGACTGGTAATTCGGTTTCTCATGTTTGCTTGATGAATGTTTCAGATGGATAACAAGATTTTTTATCAAATTTACCACCGACGAGGGAATGCGGAAATGAATCTTACAGATGGTAGGTCTTAATCTCGAACGTAGGATTTATATGTATCAGCTTTTCCATACTAACAGAGGAAGAAGTCCTTGAGCAAAGATTGATCCGAACTCGAACATAATAAATTGGTTTACCTCACTCTAGTATGCAACCGTCACTCTTTGGGTTCAAAGATGACATTGTCTGTCTGAAAATGGAACTCCATATAAACCGTGATCTCGGAGAGCGTGTGGTAGCATCAAGCCCTAGCCACATAATCCTCGAAGTTGACCAGGAGACACCGGGTTAAAAAGATATTCAACATTTACCTCAGAGAAAAACCCAACGATAGAGTAGGTTGCAAAAATGAATTGAGTTAATTCAAATTCATCAGATGGCATGTCTCGGCCTTGCAGGCGTGGTCATTGTTTAGTGTTGTTATATACCTTCTATTAATATTTAAATTATTGTTCTATAATTAGCCTAAGTGCGTTCTTTATCACATATTGATGATTGCCACGAATAGATGAGTCAATACAGACAACGATGTGACTTCCACGTAAGATGTGATAGATCAGGCAGTTACATCATGGCAAATCTGCAATTTTAGGACTACGTTTGTTATTACTGCGGCACTGATATCACAGTAGACCATAATTCTACAAGCGCACATATAATAGTAGCTTCACAGTTTCATATTCCAGTCATGATTCTGTAAAGTGGAGAGGGGAAAAACCGGAGCATCATCATAGCAGATGGTTGACAAATCTAATATTTGTAATGAAGCTGGTTATTAGGAGGCATCGAAATTAAACTATCATTGTGAAAATAACAGATGAACCAAAGGAACTAAATTCAGTACATGGCGAACTATGGAGGTTAGATAGTTCTCAATTGATGGAAAAAAGGCGAATTTTTATGATGAGATAAACGTTTATTAATTCTGGAAAGTCAACAGGAACGTTAAATGCTTAGATGCTCAAATGACTTCACAATTAAAGTTATGTTCAATTAATTATTTTGGTTTTATTGTTGTTGGGAGCCGGTCATTCAGTTTGCGCTTAATCGTCTGAATTCGCGTGTAATAGGTCGAACTAATAAAATTGGGAAACCAATAAATGATGGAAAGCGTGGTTCTAAGAAGCGCAAAACATGGGAGAATATTCATTGGTTTCCTCATCACCAACCAAAAAAGCCTAATGTAAACAAGATTTCCTACTTCCCAAATACGGGTGGAAATAAATCAATGTTTGCTGTTTAGTAACTATACCCTCCCTCCGTTTTTAATGTTAGGCTCATTTAAAATGATGTCTATATGTTCTACCCATTAGAAACCTCTTTCTTCACGCGCACCACATACAAGCACATTGAGCAGTTAAAGCTAGTAAGCCGTAGATAGATATGATAATTAGGAGTATTTGAATTATAGTATGAACTAAGAATCCCAGAAATAACACAAATGAATCAAGAAGTACTAGATAAGCATGAACGAATGTACTGCATTTGGAATTCTAAATCAAGCATTCAACAAGTACAAAGGAATCATTAGTTCATTCAAACACCACATCCGCCACAGCTTAAATAGGAGTATAAGTGTCTGTAATCGATTGTACGTCTTCTTAAGTTCATCCTGTGTCTGTCCGACATTGTGTTGGATAAAAACTCTGTATTATCTTGAATGTGTTCATTAGTATTGGAATTAACAGCCGAAATTGGAACAAACTCACTTGGTTCCTGGGATTGTATACAATCGCCATGTCGGCTGTTTACCGAAACCACTATCTAGAATTTAAAGCACGGATTTCTCAACAATATCCTCCCCCACGAAATAGTGTTGGATCTTTATATCCTCAAGTTATGGATGATGTGGCCTCATTTAAAATATATTTCACACATTTGTTAGAGTGAACATTAGAAGTGTTTTTGTGATAAGGATAAACAGCAGTTGGTATGAAATCATCCGAAGTGTAGTCAAAATCGAGATCATTTAGTGCTCGTACTTCGCATTGAAAAAGTTTCCCACAATAAACAAATGCATTATGAGGACAAATAATATTTGATAGAACATCAAGATTTGACTCTTCTGAAATGGTTTCTTCGAATTTATTAAGAATGTCATTGCAGAGTAGTGGATCATCAGAAAAACCAGCATCTATCAAAACTACATCAAGTTTTCGATCATGACTTGGTTTATTCAACATATTTTCATCAGATTTGCAAGGAATTTCGTCAGAAATAAGTGAATCACTGGGAAAAACCATATCTGGCACAATAACATGAGAAATCTGATAAGT